GGCAGGAGGCGGCAGCCAATGTCTCCCGGCAGTAACGCCCTCTCCTTGGAGAGGGGCAAGGGCAGCATGTAGCACCCATTGCTGGGGAGTTTGATGAAGACGGGGGTGTGCTCCGAGGTGTGGGGGATTGCAATGACGGCGATCACCTCCGGGTCATCGGGCAGCTGCGACACAGAGTACCCCGGCGGCAGCTTGGTGATCCCGCGGCACCAGGGGCACCGCAGGTCCTTCTGGCTGGTCCTCATCTGCTGTAGGCACACCGAGCAGCACGTGTGCTTGCAGTCCAGCAGCTTGGGCCGCCGGCGGGGGCTGTAGTAGTTGAAGCAAATCTGGCACTCCAGCAGAGAGTCCTGGGACAGCGTCTCCATGGTGGCCGGTGCAGGGAGGCACAACGGGTCTCACAAGGAGCCTCACCACAGTGTCCTGCAAACAAGGGGCAGGACACCCCTTCTCCTCAGGGCAGCACCCGTCTTCCCACCGCTTCTCCTCAGGGCAGTGCTGGATGGCAGCTAGGGAGAGCACAGGAAAACCTCTGGCCTGAACCTTTTAATACCTGAGAGAAACAGAAAAACATGAAGGAACAGGTTACTTATAGGAAGGAATCAGTGGGAACAAAAGAGTCCAGCTAAGGGGGAATGAAAACTAGCACTGACTTTGTAATCTGACAGGAGAAACAAATGTGTGACCCTTAACAAGAAAGCATCTTCCTGCTGGCTTCACCAAACCACCCAGCAGCAAACCTTCAGCCTTCACCAGATCTCCCTCTTTTTTTCAGCTATAAAATCCCTCCCAACTCATCAGTCTGCTGCTCAGTTATATTTACACCCATAACAGGTAGGTTGTAGCTCACAAATCAGGTCCTTCATCACCTACCTCCTGTCATATTTTCAGAACTTTTCAGCCCTTCCTGCACCTTAACAATTGTTCTCATTTAATCCTTCAAACTCCTGAGGCTTTTTAGCTATTTGGCTCAACTGCTAAATCTGCATGCAAGGTAGAGGGAAAAGAAAAATACACTTAAACAGATGCATTTCCACAGGCTACTGAGTTGTGCCTGTGCATGAATAAGCAACTGAATATACTGAAAGACACTCGTTTGCATGCAACGAAAAGGAATGGCATGGTTTTCAGTCAAATTAACTGTTTGCCCTGTTACACAGCTTCTGAACACATCCCTGTGAAACATACACCTTCTCACTGATGAAAACTTCACCCAAGACAAGAGGCACTGTTCAGACCCAGGACCATCACAAGCCACACAGAACAATCTGTTAATGCACGGAATTAAAGGCAAATTGTTACTAACCTTCTTTTAAACTATTCCCTATAAAGGGATTTTTTATATTTTCCCACTTTTTTCTTAGAGCTATGCAAAAAAAAAAAAAAACCCCGCAGCCACGTGTTCCCCAGTGAGTTGTTTAGCTTTGATTTTGGTCACTCCAACACATGATAAATATGGAGGGGTGACGTTTGTACAACTTTTTGCATTGCCTTCCTTGCTGTATTTGAAGAAGTATCAGCTGGAATCTGCAACAAAGAAAATCCAAAATATTTGCATAGTGACCTTTGATATCCTCTTATTGCAATGTTATCTTCCAAAGAGAGTCAATACCCTAGTACCACAGCTGTGAAAGGACTTTTTCCTTTCCAGTTATTTCTTGCTCTTCCCTCCTGATCATAGCAACAAGGTTGCAACATGCCAATCGATGGGTGACATCAGTAAAACAGAAATAATGTAGTTCCAGAAGAGTAAGCAGACAGAGAGGTGGGGTTTGCAATGTAGGACAGCCCTCTGGACCACGCTGTCTCATGTCCTGCTTCTGGAAGTCACTGGTATTTGAATAGGGAAAACAAAATACACACCATCTCTTCAGTTGCTAACGACTGATATCACCGACACTGGCAGAACTGGCCCTGCTGCTGATTTTATAACAGCAGCAGATTTTGGCTCGCAAGTCACTTCAGCAAACACGCAGTGACAGTCCTGACTCAGGAGCGAGCAGGGGCTGCAGTTATGAAGGCAGGAGCTTGTGAAACACATGTGATGGCTGCAGGGGGAACCAGCACGTACCAGCCACCCAAACAGCCCTTTTAGGGTGCTTTGTGCAGCGCCTGCTCTGCACCAGCACCGTAGTACACATGGCATTAAGAGATACTCCATGTGCAGGGGAGCTTAACGCTGCCATGGAGGGGCTTCTGCGTTTACCCACCCACGTGCAGCCTGCACTGAGGGAAAGTGGCAGAAAATTAGTAGAGTTTTTATCTTCTTTATCACCTCCTTCCCGTTACTATCTCCACATCCCTATGGTACAGGCAGGCACAAAGGAAGACTGTCAGAAAGGGTCATTGAAAGACTGGTGTGCAACTGAGAGAGAAAAATGGAAGAGAGCTATTCACAATGCCAGGCAGTTCCTCGCTGAAAAACATCATGAGACAAAGGCCAGATTAGAAATTAGTTATAGGAACTCAGGAAGGGATGACTGAAGCCATCAGACCCAGTTTTCAGCCACAAGTGATGCAGCAGTTTTATATTTTGCACAGGAGTATCCATACAAAATCTTCACAGTTACACACTGCCCAAGCCAAACTTGAGCTCAGACATTACAAAATGCAACTCTGATCTGCTGCATCTGCAAAAATCTATCAAAAAACCCCAGGTATAACAATACTGCAGTATTATTATGAGAAAAAGCTCCAATGCCTGGAAATTCAGAAGGTAAGGACTATGTTTAAAAACAGAGTGGAAGCACTCCTTCTGCAGATGTAAATCAGTACCTCTGCACAGAAGCCCTGCCCTCCACATTTTGGATGTCAATGGATTGATGAAGTTCTCATTTAACTGCCACCTACAACCATCTCTCTCCTCTTACAGTGCTAAATGTGAAGCAGTTTCTATCGACGTGAATGTGACTGGGATCAAGATAATTTTTCTGACTGTGTCCAGGAGTCATATACTCATGTGCTATCAAGCCCCTCCTCCCTGTCCCAGTGACATCCTTACAGTAGAAGATCAGTGCTAAGAAGGAATGAGATGAGGTATTCAGAACTGAAGAATAAAACAGAAGTCACCTCCAGGCAAACAGCGCCCTGAGGAAAAAGAAGAAAATCCATCCCAACAAGATGATCTCTGCTGGTTTGAAACTAAGTAATGCTGCGAAGCATTTCTCCAGGAGTTTTAAAGCATTAGTGCAATCTAAAGGAAGAAAAAGGAACAAATTAAAAGGTTAAGATAGGGCTTAACACCTACTGACATGCATTGTTCAGTTACGTGCTGATATATTTGCAGAAGCTGTAAATACAGGGACAATCCCATTCTGACCTGGTGCTCAATCAAGAAAACAGTCACTTCCAACTGTGTGTCTTGAAGCTACACTTTCTTCCTTTCTTTTCTTTTTCTTCTCCAAAAGAACAACTGTAAACATTATTTCAAGTAACAAGGTTGCATTGTGCATGTACCTGTATCAAATTATGACATTTCTTGCTTCCTTAAAATGTCTCAAATAATGATCAGAGGTGTATTTTGACAGATCAGTAGTAACAACCGGTAACCAGAGAGGTTAGTATGATTCCTTCAGAATCTGTCTAAAGACAAGTTAAAGAGTAGCCACAGCCAGCTAACCCCTTGGCCTTTGCTGCCACTGCCTTGTTCAAAGGTTGGATGCATAGCTTCATGGGTGCAATGTAACTTTATCCCCAACCAGATTGAAAGCCCTTGCACTGCAACAAGCTCAGTTTGGGAATAAAAGAAAGTGAAGCCACCATCAACAGTCAGAATTAAACTGCATAATACCTGTTTGATAGATATTTGATATTTCACAGCACGTAGTTAGGAAGGAAAAAGCCACGGAAGCTCTCTCAGGACTCTTCTACCTCTTCACTTTAATAACTACGCCAAGACTTAATACTGCAGCAGACCTCCCTTGGACACATCACTGAACTCTAGTTTGTGCTCGACACACCCCCATACCAGTTGGAAGTACTGAGCTATTACAGGTGAACACCTCACTCAAAGCTTACTCAGACTGGACTCTTCCTAGTGCTTTGAGCACAAAGACCAAGAGAGAGGGAGCCAGGCTGCACATGAAGGCACAGCTGACACCAAGGGCAAATCGTGCCTGACCAATCTG